GAAATTTGGAAAATTTTGTTTGTGTCCGCATTTTTAAATATAAAAATTGGGTCTAGCCCATTTGCCTTTTACTTTTGCTTACAACATTTTGTTAGGGAAGCAGAGAAAAAAAACTGTTACATCATTCGATATCGAAAAATTTTTGCGGCATGAATATAGAGGCCAGTAAATAAGTTTAAAACTTATGTTAAAAGTTTCTTTTTGTAGAGTACTTTTTAAAATGACGAATTTACGTTCAGTAAAACAAAATTTAAGAAACTTTTGAACCCTTTTATAAAAGGTAACATACAATACACCCTGACATGGAAACAGTGTGTTCGCACTTTTGAAACATTTTTTAAAAATCAAACAAGTGCAGCCCTGAAACTATTACTTTAAAAAAAATAAACGTCCACACAGAATCACTCAGAGCCTGCTAATATAAACATGTGGCCCAGATAATCTGTCTCTCTTTCATTGGGGTAGCTATGGCACCGTCCCCAGTTACAAGGTGAGCATAGGGGCATCAAGACGTGGTCGATTTTTTTATTTAATTGAAAAAAAACCACGATTGTTATGAAGTAATTTTAATCGGTGGGTTAGTCATGTCGAAATTGAGAATAACTTGTTACCTTATAAACTGTAAAAGCAGCAGCATCAGTTAGATTAGTGGTAGTAATAGTAGAAACTAGTAGTAGTAGGTTGTTGTTGTTATAGTAGTAGTGTTGTTGCCATGTATTATATGAGTAGTAGTAGTAATTAGTAGTCGTAATAGAAAAAGAAGAAGAATGTAGTAGTATTAGTAGTAGTAGAAATTAGTAGTATTAGTAGTAGAAGTAGTAGTAGTAGTAGTAGCTAGTAGTAGTAGTAGTAGTAGAGTAGTATTAGTAGTAGTAGTAGTAATAGTGTAGTAGTACGTAGTAGATAGTAGTAGTAGTTAGTAGTTAGTAGTAGTGTAGCAGTAGTAAAGTAGTAAATAGCAGTCCGTATGTACTAGTAGCTAGTATAAGTAGTAGTAGTTAAAAGGTAGTAGTAGTTAGTTAGTAGTAGTAGTGTCGTAGTAAGTAGTAGTAGTAGTAGTAGTAGTATGTAGTATCAGTAGTAATAAATGCATGTCTTTCGGCTGAGAAATAGCAGTACCAGTAGTCATAATTGTAATAGTAAAGGCAGCCAGTTGTTGTGGTAACAGTAGATACAAGATTAATAGTAGAGACAGTCAGTTGTGGTAGCAATGCAGTAGATGTAATAGTAAGTAAAAAAAAGTAAAGGACCCTTTTTCACCCCTTAAGGCGTATAGGGCATATAGGGCTAGACCTATATTTTTATAGACCAATCGGCACAAGATGGGGGATGTGGTCAGTATCACGCCGGCCGACTTCACTTTCTCGGGACTGCACCCGGTACCCACTCAAGGTACCCGCTCGGCCACGGCGACTCCCTGATGTAATAGTAATAGTAGATAAAGTCAGTTGTGGTCGCAGTGCAGAAGAGATATAAGTGTAAGTACAATCAGTCAGTTGTTGTCGTTAAACATGTACCAGTTATAAAAGTCAGAGTGCAAACCCAGTCTAAATCACCAAGATATTTAGTGAAGTTCTAGAAATTATGAGAGAACGAAAAAAAAAATACGCTACTGCCTATCGCAAATTAGGAAATAAAGTACAATTTTTAGTTTGTAAAAAGAAGAAAGATCTCTTTAATAAATTGAATAAAGATAAAACAAACAGTGCCGACACATGGAAGGCCATTAACCCGCCAGCAATCAAGAAACATTCTTCAGATCAGCTAATACCTAATTCTCTAATATGCGAAGAGTTCCGTTCCTCTTCCAAATCAGAAATCAAGAATTTAACATCCTCATTAGCAGACTCACAGTGTGACAAGCCTGCAAGCATCATCTGTGAAGAAAAATACACTACGAATATCCCTCCTAAGATTCCCTTTTTGTCTATTGCTGAACTGTATAAATATATGTTCAGCCTCAAGCAAACTCCTCTGACTTAAATGGAATAAGTAAACGAGTTATTTGATGTGCTGCACCGGTCATTATATATTTCTTGTTATTCATGTATAGTCTTTGTCTTGTTAAAAACAATTTTTTCATCAGCATTTAAAATTGCTAAAGTTTGCACACTGCTATAATCTGGCTCAGCTGACAACAGTTCTCTTGACAATTATAGACCCATTTCTCTACTGTCCTCACTATCTCAACCTTTAGAGAAACATAATGAAATAAAGTTGTGACATTTAAATAACAACAATGTAATAGTGTCAGGGTTCAGACATAAACAATCTTTTCGTACTGCATTGAAAAACAAAATTGTAATGAGTTACAGACTCTGAAAGCATGCGTAGAAAGGTGAAGACAGGGATGCTTTGAGCAGAGGGGCAAGCTTCACTTAAAAGTCAAGGGTAGTGAGAATACCTTGGATCTTTTCTCTGGACAGTGCCGGCGTGGTGGGTAATGAACAGGCGGGCAGATTGGCTGGATCTGTACCACTAGGTGGTGAATTGATACATG